AGCAGCTCCGCGGCCGTTCCCCTCTTCCGTAACCACCCACCGCATCGCCCCTTTCCCTCTGGGACCCAGCCTCCGCCAACCCTCTCCGATCCACCCTTTCCCGCCCTGTCCCCGATCCGAAGCGCGGTTCCGACACGCAGACACGCACATTCCGATCTAATTCAATTTCCAATCAACAGCCAATCAATTGATTCGAATTCGGTATACAGAGCGGTCGGCTGGCTGCCGTTGCGGCCTCTGCATGCCTATGAGGCTGCCAGCCTTCTCCACCCCCCTCTCTCTCTCTCTCTGCTCCTCGCCGCTCTCCGTTTCTCGCTTTCAGGCCACGCGTGGACACTCCGACTGAGCAATTAGCTTTTTACCTGTCCTCCTACCGTCACGCGCACTCTGACCGCGTCGCGATGATCCACTGACAGGCGAGATCGAGCAATCTTTCCAGAGAGATCTTCCAGCGATGCGCTCGAGGGGAACGAGTTGCAGGTGAACGTTGCTACCGCGAGGAATACAAGTATTCGCGTTTGGATACGATTTTCGGTGTACAGCGCGTTAGAGAAGAGATGGCACAGCGTGTTTTCATTCTCGCTCGAATACAAGCAGTGACCGCCATTGACCGAAAACGGAGACGAAGATGATTGGCTGGCCGTAGCGAGATCGAGTGAGCTAGGATATGGCAGTATTTGCATTAGTTTTCTGCTTCGTAATAACTTCCAAGACTATGCCTATATCATCTTCGTCACTTTTCGCTCAATAGCAATCACTACCTGTAATCGAGGGAGTGTGAAACGGAAGTTAGTCAGCCGTGAGGATGCAAACACTCTGTACCATCTCTTCTCGAACGCGCTGTACCTCCTCTTCGTCCTCCGTTTGATAAATTCGATGACTTGCCAATTCTTGACAGGAAGCCTGACAATGCGCTCTAAACTGGCAATATTCGAAACACTTCGCGAGATGTCGCCTATGAAACTTGCCATTTCATCACTGTCTAAAACCCGGACTTAATTCCAAGTCCTCCGAACCGATTTCTGCTCTGTCAAAGCTCCTTCGAGCTTCCAATTTGAATTCTTTAGTCGTGTCAAAGCGAAAAGGTGAATCGCGCATGTAGCGGTATTACAACGATATTTCGTGGAATTAATTAGAGATTAATCAGGATCAATTAACGCCGGGAATTTTTCAGCGTTTCCTCGCAAATGAACCCTTGGAGCGATAAACAATGCTATACCGCGAGTGCTGGCAAGTAGTAACAGTAAACGGAGAAACCGACGGACGAACGTTCGCAGAAACGCGCGCCATCGGTCACCGTCGCTTTTTCCCGCCGCCGGCGTAGTATTTTAATTGCCGCGCGCGGCGGCAGGCGCGGGCTTTTTGAAACAGAGGCCGCCACCGGTCGGCGGGAGAAAAAGCGGCGCGGCGTTCGAACGCGATCGAGCCGAATAAAGGCACGGCAGAGG